GGGAAAGAGCGTGTGTGGTACACGGTGGCCTGGCTGTCGAGCAAGTGGATTCAGCGAGTTGTACAAAACGCCGGACTAGCGCTTCGAAACGAGTTCCGTCTCCGGAGCGGCACGGCCGCGAGGATTGAAGGGAAACGGAGGACACCGGTGGCGGTGGTGGAGGCACTCTCGGTGGCGTACTACGGCGCGGAGGGTGGAAGCTAGTTCCGCACACCTCCCGCGAGGGTGGACGGGGGGTTGGGCATGCGAACCTACCGAGGCATCCCGGGATTCGAACTGGTTCCACCCACAAAGTCCATCGCGCCGGTCCGGCCGCCCCGCGAGGAGCTTTTGCTATTTTCTCATAGCAGCTATAACCGGCGAAATCCTCCCTCCACCCACGGACGTCATCCTCCTACGCCGGCAGCATCGGCCAGTCATCGAGTGGCTCCCGTGGATTCGTTAAGGAATTAAGGATACATGCGCAGCAACTTTGGAACCGGGCCTGCTCAGAGCTGGTCAGCATTGCGGATAGTCGCCTTTCTTTCTCTGCTATTTGCACGCGCCGTGATATATCGGTGTTATGCGGCTCTTGCTATTCATTGCATAGCAGATTAGAATGGAGACCGGAGGTGGAGCCTTGGATCCGCTTTACCGTTATCAAACGGTGCCCTCGATCTGGATAGCTCGGTTAACGCCGAGGATTTCGGATCTCCAGCAGCTAATTGGCTTTTGATAGGCTCGCAGATGCGTCTCTGCAATTGTCGCATTGGCGCGTTATTATGTCCGACGTTTGCAGGTTCTTCCTATGAGTGGCTTTTTCTAGCTACTGACAAAGTTTGATTCTCGCATCATCATGATGTTTTGCTTTGTTTAGGGAAGTGATTCGAGATCAGTTAGGCTATATCTATATTTCATTCCATTTTTGTATTGACAAAGAAGGTGACGAATATTTGCTCGCAATATAATTATATCGATATATTAGTAAATTGGTAATTTTAGAAAAAATATTGCTCGGTAATTTTGTAAATTATCGTAGGTATCATATATTTCAAAATTAAATAAAAACTTGGTTTGATCTCGATTGGTTTTGGAAATCTATATTGCTCAAAATATCGACCACGTTAAAAGAAATGCAAAATCATTTGATGTTTTTAGAGGATCGAGGCTGTTTGAAGAACGTTAGAAAATATCTTGAAAATTCTAAGATAAAAATATCTTTTTCCTCGTATTGTCACGTCTATGATACGTCTAATACAAAATTAGGTGAAATTGTCAATAATTATGGCTAGCTTGTACGGTACCATTGGGCAAATTTGATAATGTGTTAAACTCAATAGATTTAATAGGAGGATTAAGTATACTGCGATTTTTTAAATCTCAGTTAATGCCAATCACTCAATTTTCGAACAATATTTTGTGCTCTCTTTATAGAATTGCCATTATCTTGGATAGCAAGGTATTTTTCAGATAAAAACCAGCGATACAGTCACTTTACAGCCATATTACAAGTGTAGTACTTTACGAACAGCCTTATGAAAACCCGGTCTTCATCATGGAACTAAGAATAAAAAAAAAGACATAATATTATCCTTTAGATATCATCGTTTATATTTAAAAAACAAAGAATACTCAAAAAGATATATACTAAACTATACTACTTAGTTTTCGCTACAGCTATATTATTAAAAAAAAAAAAACAATAAGACTACTTTATAAAAAAATTCACAGATGTTCCTAATTTTTTTCTTTCCAAAATTTTTCAAAGTAAAAATCTACTTAAAATCACTGATCGATTAAATAAAAAAATTCTTTAATATAACTAGTAAAGGACTAGTTATATTACATACGAGTATTAATTCATGCGAGGAAATTTCTACAAAAATAGTCTCGACTTCTAAATTTTGTCAATTTTCCAAAAATCTTTCACCGTCGATTTCACCAGACTGAATCTACCTATCCAGTAAGATCCTCGCGTACTCCGGAAACTTACTGCCGGTATCAATTTCAGAGACGTGTAAATACATAACTACCGCGACTTAGCGCAGCAAGGAACACAACTGTCACCAAAATTTCAGGCGCGTTTTCGGAATACTAGCCAGGCATTTAATTACTTTGCTGGTAAGAGCTTGGGCGGGCTGACGATCCCGCGAAACGAAGCAAACTGTCCGTAATTTCGCAAGTTGCCGGTGTCACGTCGTCCATTTATTACTCAACTTATTGTCAGAAGGAGCGGAAACAAAAGCGCAATAAGAACCCCGCCAAGTGGCCGGGTCGGAAGTCAGAAATACGCGGCGGAAAAAGGCGAAAACCAACGAAATGAAACGTTCGCAAACGAGTCACGATCCCCTAATTAGGGGGCTAAATACCGCTGACGTTTTTTGCCGTTGCAATATTATCATATTTAGTATGCGCACTTAGGAAGCCGGCTTAAATAAGCCCTGGAACCTCTGGAGTGCGGAAGCTCCGGCTGAGAGCACGAAGTCTAATAAGTTCCACTGGTCGAGCTGCTGGCGGACTGCACGTCGTATATCTGCCAGAGTATTAGGCTGCTCCTTCAACGTGTCTCGCTTTCTTTCTGCATCAGCACCATCTGATCCAAATCTCGTTCTTTTCTTATCGACGAGTGACTCGTTTTCATAATTTCCTACACCATCTTTCCTTCAAATTCTAACTCTAAGAGGAGAGATGAGAGAGAGCTGGTTCTAATGAATCTAACTCTCGGTAGCTGATTTGACTATATTCTTCTTGATCAACTATGCACACTGTCACCGCTCTCTCGCGTAAATCTTCGCGGTTCTCTCCTCGAACTGCCCTTTTAACCACTTGCGCTAGAAAGACGTGCCACGCACGTCGAGGTGCATTTGTTCCAAAATCGCCAGCGACGTGCACACCACGTCGATAGGCATTTATCGCAGAAATAAAAATGAAAATGAAATAAAAATATGGGCTGCACGTCGGCTAACAACCAGATCGTTCATTTCTCGAGCTACAGTTCCAGAGTGCACAGCGTCGCATAGTGTCATCGATATCTTGGAAGTATTTCAGAATCGATACAGTATCTCGCAGTGTCATTGTGACACCTTACCGTGTGTTATGCTGTAGCGCACGGTACCGCAACCGCGAGTTTATTGGTAGCGCGAGAGGTTAAAGGTGGGCCACCTTTGTTAAGTCGTCGCGAAGATCAAGCGAATTACTGCTCGATTTGAGACTCCGGTTATCACTGCTACATGCTCCTCACTCACGCCGTCTTATCGGTAACCAGAGTTCGCATAATCTTACATACTCTTACTTAACACAAAAGGCATACGTTTGTATTTCGTGCCTTTGCGACACCGTAGAGGCAGCGAGTGTGTAGTCTTTGTCTGTGCACTGTTCTTTTCTATCGTTGAATTTTTGATTTTCGAGCAATGCGGGGAGAAGTCGGTCTTCGAGAACCTTACTTGGAGAGAAAAGATTGCGTAGAAGAAAATAATAAATATTTGTATATGTATCAACTCGATTAAATTGATTTAACAGCTACTTTTGGATTTACATGGCTCTGATGTCTGATGTACTTATAAAGATCCGGATTTATAAGTCGAACCTTTAATTTTGGTTATATTTTATATTTCTTTGCTGTACAAAGTACACGGAGGCTCGAAGCCTTCTAAGATGCGTGGTGCAGATACTGGATTACCAAAAAGTGTCCTGTCGAGTCCTTCAGCCAGGTTTTTATAGGCCCTATTGCGTCAATCAATCCTGCTTCGAGAATTGGTAAGCTGGATGGTTCCTCGAAGCAAATGTGAGGCGAAAGATGACACACCTCGATGACACGGCGCATCATCCTTGAACTGAGACATAAGATAAGATACCCATTAAGACACACCAACTCTGTATAAATACCGTCCCGAAACGAAATAACGTCAGGAAACAGATAACACACCTAGATGACACACTGCATCACCCTTGAATTCAGACGTAAGATAAGACACCCGTTATGACACACCAATTCTGTATAAATACCGCCCCGAAATGAAATAAAGGCTAGTCTATTACCGAACGTACTCTTTGGCTGTTTCCTTCGCGAAGGCTTATACTTACGGGATAACCCTTTAACCATGTCTCAAGAATCGCTCATCCTAAACCTTCTAAGTCACCAGTCTCGTGACACAAACATAGATCCCTATGCAGAGTGACGCCATCAAAATAAAGACTCCTCTCACAATGGTTGTCATCTGATGATGTCCGGAATGAGGATCGATTGTTGATCGATTTTTGGTGACAAGGATCCAGATAGAACGTGGAGTCTTTCGTTTTGCACCAAATACACGTGTTCAAAGATAAAGGTGCAGTTAACCCTTTGACTGCCACGCCGAAATCGCATGTTTCCTTCAGGACGTCACGGGAGTGCACCGCTAGATGCAAGATTTGTTCTAATATTTCTTTGATGTTCTGATAAAAAATTTTAAACGTTCAATGGGGCACTTTTCATTTCAAAGTATCTTCTAATTAGCGGTTATATTGAAAATGTACTAACTGTCAATTTTCATTCAATGTAGTTCAATCTAGTTCGAGTAGTTCAAGCGCTCCGGTCACCAATGACCACTGTGACGTCACAGGAGAACCGTGGCTGGTCATGTATGGCCAACGTGGCAGTCAAAGTGTTAAAAGGATTCTTATTGACATTTTAAATCTTACTTTCTCAATTTATTTCTAGATGTAAAATGACGATAATTAATAAAAAAGTGTACTGCAATCAACGTGTTTCGAACGAAGCGTGTACGTATTACGAGATTAAAGGAGTTTATCATTTTTGTATTTATTTTATTAATAATGGAACGTGTACAATTAGTTTGTGAGACAAATCATGAATGTTATCTGGTATGTTAATCCTTTGCACTCGACGATTTCTTCGTTACAGGAAAATAGTAATTCAAAGACTTTCTGCCATAAAGTCGATGATAATTTTAAAACGGTAAATAAAAAATCGTATACAAATTATGAGAGCAAAGGGTTAAGAATAAGAATATGTGTAATCACCTGAAAATTGCTATAGCTCGAGATGATAACCACCCCAATGAAACGATAATTCTGAGACGACTAAAAAGAAGACACTTTACAAATTTCATTTTGTGATCAGTATATACAAGTACATGACAAAATCATAACTGTGAAATGTAATTAGCACTCCTTCACATTGGTGAAATGAACTGCACGTTATTCTCAAGCCAATCGTAATATATATTTACTCATTGTCATCTAGACAGTTTGTAAACATAGACATGAAGATTTAAAAAAAAAAATTTTTATTAACGAAGTTTTTACTCGTTGTAATTATGTAGTATGTGAATCTGTAAAGTAGCATATGCACGGGGCCTTTCTCCATTTTTCTTTGTAATTTTATCTTGAATTGTAAAAGTGTAATTCGTGGATGAAGTCAAGAAGAAATATGTAATATACGAAGGTTGATTGTATTTGTTTTGTTATGAAGTGTTATAGTTTATAACACTGTTATTAATGACAAATACGTATATAATGAATACTATTGTTCTTCGAATTGTTACAATGAAAAATGTGTTTTTATTTACGCAAAACGTTCAGAGATTCTGAAATTAATACTCTTGCTGTAAAACGTAGCTTTATGTTTGCTTGTAAGCAACGTAATTAAATTTTAATAACGAATATCTGATGTACAATGTGTGTACAATCTGATGTATGTTCAATGTTTGCCTATAACTTTTTATTGAAACGTTCGAAGTAAAAGTTTATGGCACAGACGAACCTTTTTTATGTCTACTTTTAAATTATGCTACTGCGCTATTACTACTCCAAGGAAATATATATAACATCCTTTTATCTAACATTATCCGAAACGACCTATTAAATCTTCTGTTTTCTTCTAACGATTATTTCAAACGCAACAATAGTATATTGTAAACAAAAATAGTTAGTTTTGTATAACAGATTCGAGATTTCTTCAATCTTACATGTCAGCTATTAAAAGTATTCATCCTGAATTTGAGATGACACGATAAAATAGGAAATACAGTAAATAAAGAGAGAAAAAGTGAATATTAAATTATGAATTCATTACAATCATTATAATCGTATCAACAAACTAACAATTAAAATATCTCGATTTGTTAACTAAACAATAATCGAAAATATTATGCTTGTAAGTATTATATTTTTCGTCTGTTTCATACGAAATCAAAATTATTATACTGATTTAAATTGTCATATACCAAGATACTAATTTATTTCACCTTCTATATATTTTTATTATTTTTTTATTTTATTTATTATTTTTTCCTTCCAAACTGTTTTTCAACATAATCCACGTAACATGAAAGATATACTGACAAAAAAAAATACAAAATGAAATTTCGTATTTAGTCACAACATCTCGGATCAATAGAATTTTAGTCATTTTACTAAATCAGTTTATTAATATGATTGATGATCTTTGCAATTAAAGAAAAAGGAGAAAAATACGGCGAGTTCATTTTGTATTTCATATTTCGTAAACACCTAGTGAACGGGAAGAAAACAATTCTACAATAAGAGTAATGAGTTTTTAAGGAAACTAATTAATCCGTAACAACCACTAATACACGAAAGCCGATGCAAACGGTGACTCGCACTACTGTAAATATTCGTACGTTTCTCGTGTAATGCAACTTTCATTAACGATTTCGCTATTTAGTTGTTGCTCAAATTCGTCCATTACTTTATTTCACTATAAATGAGCCATTCACTGCACAAATCGATTAATTCCACTTTTTGAAAAATCTTAAATTTAAGTGTCAAAGCACTTGGTATAGTCAACTTCTTATATTTAAGATTTTTCTAAAAGTAGAGTTAATCAATTTGTGCAGTGAACGGCTCATTTATAGTGAAATAAAGTAATGGACGAATTTGAGCAACAACTAAATAGCGAAATCGTTAATGCAAGTTGCATTACACGAGAAACGTACGAATATTTACAGTAGTACGAGTCACCGTTTGCATCGGCTTTCGATTCGTAGCATAGCGGCATTGAAATCTCCTATCTGACTCACTTATTTACTAGTCTCCATCGAACAACGCGATCAGAAATTAAAATTCAAAACCTTCACAACAGTCGCATAATCAATTATCATTAATTCAACAATCCCAAACGCGTAAAATATCTCTCTCAAAATGATCCCCAAAAATACAGTCAAAAACATTGCAATTTCATAGAAAAATCATCATCGAAACGAAACAAAAATGGCGAATTTTATCACTCTTATAAATTTCCAAGATTTTTCTATAATATCGAATAAATAACTTAAAATAATTAAACGCTACCTCGATATCGCGATTACGTCGTGATGCAATTTCGCGAATGAATAATTCAAGGACGTCCGTCATTCGTGAAGAGCTAATAATCGAGAAACTGTTTTCCATTAAGTCACCGAGTCTCAGGGAGCTATAGTTCACCGGTGAGGTGGTCGAGAAGTGATTTCGTGACGCGAAGGTGGACAAAAGTTTCGGCTTTGCGAAGGGAGAAGGAGAAATAGGGAAAAAGATGGGTAAAGGAAGAAGCAGCCTAAGAGAGGCTCTAATTTACCAGGACGCAGGGACTTTGCGTCTGAGACTGAAGCTAACTGCTAATTTAAGGGTTAATTCCTTAGGAGACAAGTTGGCAGAGTTACGACGAAAATATTCATGGCATTATGCATACGCTTAGGCGGTCGGCGGGTGTTGCTAATAAAAATTAAAAAGTCTAATTGCGAAAGGTCGTCGTTGCGAAATTAAGACTTCTATCAATTTTTTTTCCCAACGTTATCCTCATTTTACGCGAAAACTTAAAAAGCTTTGCTGCCTGTATCAGCTGCTATATTTTATCGCTATGCTGCTACTTTTATAATACCTTTCATAATTTTAACTATTCCGGTAGTTAAATAAGTTTCAATTGAAAATCGTGCGACGAAACGATTCGATGAAACGAAACAAAATGAACTTGAACGAAAAGAAAAGGTTCTCTTAAAAGAAAAGAATGAAAAGGATAATGTTTCTGCAAATAATACGTACTCCTCTATGTTCGAATGGTATGCAGTATAGAAAGGAAGTAATTTTGAAGTTAGGACAACAGCCAATTTTAAACAAAATAATGTTTCTGTAAAATAAGGACAATGTTTCTGCAAATAATATATACTCCGCTATGTTTGAATGGTATGCAGTATAGAAAGCAAGTAATTTTCAGGTTAGAATAACAGCCAATTTTAAACAAAATATACAATTTTACAGTGAAAGTGAGAGAAGGATGGAGAGAGAAAATTAAAGAAATAAATTGGTACATTTACTGATAAAAATTAAGAAACAACGCAACAATGTGGGAATTTTCGTAATAAAAATTAAAAATATGTCATATATAAAGAAATCGAAAATATTTATTGTTTATTGCTACATAAGACCATACCTGTTCATCCTATTTCCAATTTGAATTTTATTCGATTTTAACCTAATTTTAATTCTTCATCCTACTTCCAATTTTAATTTTAATTATATCAGAAGGTAAAAAATATAGAAAAATTTGTTGGTTATACTATTTGTATCATATTTGGAAAGATCTAGTATCAAAATATGTGAAATTTAATAGAATGCAAGTCCTTCGGGTCATAGGTTTAGTTGAAACTTTGCAGGTTTGTAGATTTAGTCATCCAGTTCAAGAAAATGTATCATTATAAAGGCAACTACTCGATAGTTTTCGAGATATTTATGATTAGAGTTTTATTATCGCCTTAATTACAGATTTATTTCGAATATTTATCAAGTGCCGTTGTGGCTTAATGGCTATATCAGAAAATTCCCACGTCGGTGGCAA